GTTGGATTACGACAATGCTCAATAATGATGTAATGAATGTTTTTTTTAATTATTATTGTATTTTTTTTTATTTGCTACACTTAAGTTGAATGAGAAGCGTTACACCACAAGTGAATAATATCGTTCTTTTATTCAAAAAACTTTTGTTTGAACAGTATACCACAATTGCAACCTAGACTGGTACTGATGCTCCCAACCCACAACCGATTGATCTCGGTAACGGAACCGCATGTTATGAATAGACGATAATGGACAATCATCAGTCAAATCTAAACGAATGTAGTGTGCTACAGTACCAAGATGGCAAATGCCAATCTCACGACATGGTCCTCTAGCCGATGATCGTGCAGTGAGAGGCAACACTGCGTTGCTGAATAAGTCGTGCTGCCCACCTTGCGAACCAGAGCTCAAATGAATGACAACCACATTAAATAGGGTCGCAACGGCGTAGAGGTCCTCCGGAACTTCGAACCAGTGAGCACGTCCACAAGGGCCCTTGCCCCACCTTACGCGACTGAGTCCGGCGTCGATATCTCTATAATAGATGTACTCGTGCAATTCACGGTGGTTGTCGACCTCATTCGCAATGCTGTCTCTTGCATCTGCCCAGTACTTCTGGTGACCATACACGTGACTCGCGATGACCCGAAATCCGCAGTTACCATCCGCATCCACATTCAGGTAACTCACTATGTAGTCCAACATATGCCAGGGGATACTTTGCCACATTGAAAATCCAAATATATTTGTCGGTCTAAACTCTGCAATAAATATCATAATAATTTGACGTCACCATTTATATAATCATATAAATACTTTAATTAACGCTCAGCCATGTTTTAAAAAAAAATGTATGACCTTCATCCCCTTGTGACTGTTGAGAAGACGAACTTGTCTGTCCACGCGAAGAAGTGGTCGTACGGCTCGATTTCCGACCTCGCGATCTATTGTTGTACTCAAAAGCAGATGGTTTACGCTTAGTTGAATTAGTTTCTTGGGACGACCTCGCGGGTCATCCTTAACCTCAGGTTCCGCATAATCCTGTAGGTCTGGGTAAAGATGACTGTACATGAACTGATTCCCGTACCGCATTGTCGCGGGATCGCGGGTTTCAACCTCACTCACAAGCGTCTGAAAGAACTCCGCATCTGACCATGCAGCGTGGCTCGCCTGGCTCTGATGACCAGTCCCTACAAGTATACGATAAAAAAGTCAATGAATTAAACCAAACAATGTATTTTAATATAAAATTATAAATAAAACATTAATCTTAAATTACCTGACTCTAATATCTGGAGCGTTCTCCAGAACTGGTGAATCATTCCGAGATCAATCGGAATGTCGAAATCAATTGCGTTACGGAGAAGACAGGCACAAGGAAGTCTATGAGTGAGCTGCAATACACAACCGCAGCTAGTGTAAACATCGGTGCCCAACTTGTGCATTCCCGTAAGCTCAACGTCCAATAAACTCAGACAGTAATGCGAGACCCTCAGTATAAGGCTCGCGAAAAGGATTCCCTTATACCGTGTATTCTTCTTAGATCTCGAGGCCTCAAGCGCCGTCCTGATAATACGTTACATAACGTTAGATTATAATTAATTAATGCAGTCATATATAACGCATTTAAAAATTGCAGTACGTACTTGATTTCAGTCACTTGATTATCGATGTGCTTATTAATCTTCTGCCAAACTGTATCGAGCGCGCCAGTTGACGTCTGAAGCCACTCCTTCAACACATAGTGGGCACTCTCCACCCTACAGGAAGTTGTGTTTCCAAAATGTGTCACTCGGTTGGTCCAAGCCTTCACAAACTTCTCGCGGTGCACTAACCATGTGCCCTCCACATACAGTATTACTTCTGGAGAGTTAGAATATTTTGCGTGCAGCTCGACAACGGCATCGGTGTAGGCATCGAACGTACTGGCCTCTGCTATCACCTTCCACGTACTGTGTGTGAAAATCTCCGAGAATTTTTTACTCTTCCCAAATACTTAGTAGGCTCTGGCTTCCACATCCTTGTTGATGTGCCACGTGCAGAGTAAGTGGGCTGATTCAGGAAAATGTCTCTGAATAGGAGTGAGTAAACCCAACTCTCTGTCACTGACAACAACATAAGGATATACGCTTTGGCCTATCAGTAGTCTCAACTTCTCTAGAACCCAGTCGTAACTGGCCTCTTTCTCGTCCCTGATGAGCGCATACGCAATCAGGAAGTTCTGGTTGCACGGCGTCATCCCAATCATCTCGACCAACGGCATCTTGTACCTGTGCAAATGAGACAAAGAAGACAAAAAATATAATCAAATAAAAGTTAAATTAATCAAACACACTATTTAAGATTCATACTAATGAAGTATGTATAAAGTAACATACCTGTTGGTTTTATATGTGGAATCTATGCCGACATACCAGTGATATGTCCGGAATAGATTGTTCAACGCAGGATGGGCCATGAATATATGCGTCAACGCTTTCGTATTCGGATCGGATTCTGCATAAACTGTATACTCGCTGCTCACGGCCAAATGCATAAGCTGGGAAGGAACGTCTATACCGTCGGAACTATCTGTCCGCAGCTTATTTCTAAAGTTATATACCTGTCACCGATTAGCGTTAATTATAATGATTATTATAATTTAAAACAAAAAATTTATTATATTAATAAATAAAAAAGTATATTAATGCGATTAATTTGATAAAAAAATTATTAACTATCACAATAATAATACATTAGTAAATATAATAAAATTTATTAATTATTACAATAATTTTTACATAAAAAAATTACTAATTATCATAATTAACTTAAAAAAGTTAATTAAAACATATATTACAAGATATAAATATATATACCTGCCGCACATGAACGTTGTCTCCCGGATTCTTTTCCTTCAGCGCGGCCATAATTTTTTTCGGGGCCACCTGAGCGTCCGTCATGTCACGAACAATTTTCTTAGATGAAGCGCTGAGGCTGCTCAACTTGCGATGACCCTCAGGATACACAGCAAATGCATGGTTATGGTAGCCTTTCTCTTCATTGCTACATTTACAGATCCTCCAGTATGGAGCGCCGGACACTTTTTTTACTTTGATCTCAAAATTGCAGCTGCACTTATTCGTTTTTGTCTTTCTAGAATTTCCGCCTGTGCCTCTGTACCGTTCGCCTCTATGGCACTTCAAAAGTCTGACCGTTTTCTTTTTGTGACTCGAAATTATTAATACGAAACCATTCAGCATTGTCTGGTGTTTTGCAGCTTCAATAGCCTCCTGAGCACTATTATATAATGTACAGGTATCGAAACGCAGACTGTAATCAACACCATCTCCTCCAAAATCTTCCCATGACTCCTGCTATATAGTACAATATTTATATTTTTAGAAAATATTAAATTAAGATAGTTAATTCTAGCATGTAACATAATAATTTGTAACTCATAACATGATATTATCTAACATCCAATTTATATAATTTGTAACTCCTAACACGATCACGATAATATCAAACGTCCAATTTTTATTATAATCAACATGTAACATAATAATTTGTAACTCCTAACACGATACTATCTAACGTCAATTTACAACAAAACCAAAGACTAACATGTAATATAATAATTTTTAACTCGTAACACGATAATATCTAACGTCCAATTTATATTATAATCAACATGTAACATAATAATTTGTAACTCCTGACACGATAAACGTCCAATTTATAGCATAATCAAGTATAAAATGTAACATAATAATTTATAACATAATAATATAGTCCAATTTATAACATAATTATTTCGAATATATAACATAATAATTTAAATATATATATATATATATATATATATATATGTCCGGTCGGCCGAGCCGGACGGACCGGTTCCAACCGGCCGTCGTCCGGCCGGCCGGTTCGGACATGGCCCGTCTGACCGGCCTTATTTTTCGGACGGTTTTTAGCCCGTCCGGACCGGCCGGCCGGACGGCTTCAAAACCGTCCGGTTCCGGCGGCCGGACGGGCTAAAAGCCGTCCGGAAACGGCGGCCGGACACCAAATTTTTCGTACCTCCGAATTTGACGACATTTCACCGTACACTTTCCTCTGAGATGTTTAGAAAAAATGAGAAGGGCAAAATTGTCCAAGGGGGCGGTGACTAGTAAAATGGGGGGCGGTGAATAGTATTGCCCTTATTCTACGTAGTATATATTCTTTAAAAATACTTATTAATGTTTTAGTACATAAGCAGTCAGTTCAAAGAAGTTACATTTTTTAATACCGCAATTCCACGAGGAAATGTACAAAAATAAAAACTATTTAAAAAAATGGCAATAAAATAAAGGGACTCAATAACACAACTTATTAGTGCGGGCCGCAGTTTTGAAAGCACTGAACCGGCCCAGAAACATATACGGGCCGGTTCATGAACCGTCGGTTTTAGGCCGACTCAGTTCATTAAAAAAAAATTTAAAAACAATAAAAAAGGTCAAATCGCCGGTTCAGGTTTTGATACGGAACTGGCCCAGAGGTTAAAAAAATTACAAATATACAACTCGAAATCGGCCCGGTCAAACCACAGGCTCGGTTCAAGGTCTGTTGACCAAAGGGCGTTTCGACCCAATTCAGGCCGACCCGACGGGCGGGCCAAGCCGTGGCCATCTAGCTTGATGAAAACTTTCTTTTCAATTATTAAATAATGAAAAAAATATTAAAGAAATTATTAACAAGCCATATAATTAAACTTAGTCCATTATATTAACATTTTTTTTCACAAATGATAAAAAAAAAAGTGTTAATACCATTAATTGGCCATAAAAATTTGCAAAACACAAATTTTGGCTACCTTTTGTAAAAAACATGTTTTTTAGCCATTTTGGCATGTAAAGTTACAACATTACCCAAACCCAAAATTTTTCACAATTTTGTATTTTCCCCCCAAATTCATCTTTTCACATTACTTCCTCATCTTCANTTCACTTTTAATTCATGCCCCATTTGAAAAAGCTTTCAGCAGAGAAAAAAAACCGCAAATTCACTTTCACTTTCCCACGAGCTCGCCGGCTCGACCTCCGCACGACCTCGCTAGCTCCGCACGTCCTCCACACGTCCATTGCCGCGGCCACCTCGCCGGTTCCGCACGACCTTGCCGTTCTCCGCAGCTTCTCGCTGGAAAAGAATCGACAGTGCCTCTGTTGCCTCTGAAATCAGGTAATTAGGGTTCTTGACCCTTAAATTTGTTGTTCGAGTTAGGGTTTTTTTGTTCAAATTAGTGTTCTTAACCCTTAAACATTTGGTTCGAAATAGGTCTTTTTTTTTTGAATTTTTTTCGAATCTGAGTTCTTGGTCTGTTTCTTACATAATATCAACAGATTCAACATAAACTTTTGGTTGAAATTTTTGTTTCTTGGTCTGTTTCGAATCTGAAATTTTTATCTTGTTCTGTTTTTAACCCTCCGGGTCGAAGAACAAGCCGAAACCCCTGTCGTGATCGCCAAGGAGGCCCCGAACGCCCTCCGCAGCCACCTGCTCGAGATCCGAGACGGGGCCGACGTGTCCAGCTGCATCTCGGCCTTTGCCCGGGCCCAGGGATGTGAGAGTGAGGGTTAGGCTTTACTTTCTTTTCTATTCTTTTTTTGTTTCTTTTTTTTTTAAAATTTCTTTTATGCTGTGATGAAATGAACCGTGGAAACAAAATGACATACTCATTGTTGATCAGGCCTGTTTCACTTTTATTCTGTTGAATTTTTATAATTTCTATGTGCTGACATTATGTTGCATTATTCTGTCCCCGAGTATTCTCGATTTCCGGTCGCTCGCACTCAGCCCGGAAACACCACTGAACGTGACAGCCTAAAGCTAAAGAAGAAGCCTTCCAAGTTGTTATTGAGCTTGTGAAGTCATCTGACATGTTTTAGGTAATTCGGTAATGCCATGATTTGATTTAGTTGTTTTTATATGCATTTCTTTTGTAGCTTTCTTTCATAAAGATATTGTAGATGGGTTGCTCTTGAAACTTTAAGGTCATAATCCTAAAGATTTGGGAAATGAATCAGGTCATATCTCGGGTGGATCTTCAATTAAATGAATCAGGTCAAATTCCTTACTCCCTGATTAAGGAAACTATCCAGGTATTTTATTTATATTTATGGCAACTCATGAGTCATTCAGCATTACATATGTGACCTCATAACATTCGGGTTTACTCAAATTGAAGATGATGATGTGGATCATTTGCGAAGAATTTTTATTGTCTCTATAGATGGAAAAAAGTCTGGTGGTCATGTTGCCACACATCACCAACAAAACAGGTTGGGAAGACACCTGCGAACAAGCCAAATCAGCAGACACCAAAATCCGGGGATCACATTCCTGCAAGAGCTGCAACAGGTACACCAAAATCCAGGGATTTTGATTATTTTTCATGAATAATTACAATTATTGAGCCCGATTCTGAAAACATATTTAGTATGTATGTATGTACGTTTCTGATGTACATGTTCCATGTAATTTTAAAAGATAACTGGTAGTTTTTGTCTGTAAAGTTAAACCTTGGTGTACGCTATTGCGAGAATCTTACAACTTATGATAAAATGGAACTAAAATAATAGGTAATTGTTGATGATGGTTATGCTTGCAGAGACATTTACATCTGAGCAAGGCCTTGATTCCCACACAAAAGCCAAGCATTCTGGTGGAAAATAATTTGAAATTCCTCCCTAATGCATTTTTTTGTTGGAGGTTTTGTGCTGTCGGTTTTGGAAGAGTGCTTGTTTGTGAAGAATTTGGAAGTTAGTTATGAAGTCGAGTATTTTGGTTTGTCAAAAAAATTGTAGTCACATGATTTCCTATTCAATGTTGAGTTCTGGATTATTATATAACATCCATGGTTAAATCTCATGTATGCATTTGTGTTTCATTTTTACTTGTACAACACCCGTGACTACAGGGTGCTTGTTACTTTCAAATTTCAAATATTTTTAATAAATTACATATTAAAAATTACATATTTATAAGAAAATCCACATTCCACGATTTTTGGCTTGCAAGGTCACATATATAGTAGTTACTTGAGACAATTTGGCCAAATTGTGCAAGTTAGATTCACAAGAAATTCTCCATTTTTACAAATAAAAATCGAGCATACATGTATGATGGTTGAATTTACATATATTTCAATTACCATCAACCATTGCATCAGCACGAAGTAAAAATAGGCAGTCTTTATGCTTGCAGACAGACTCAAATCGAGACTGTGATGACCTTCGTGTTCGATAATCCACTTTGTGTTGCGTAAAATTAGTTGGTGGTTGAGTAGAATATACACTTATTCCACGATCTTTGACTTGCAACGTAGTATATGCAGTAGGAATTTGGAACAATTCGGCCAAATTGTGCAAGTCAAATTCATAAAAAATTCTCCAATTTTCCAACTCTCCATTTTTCATTGGCCATCAAGAAGTGAAATCGATCCTCACACGTGTGTTTATCTCCACAAACAATGTCATGAACTCTATTTAAAAAGTCTTCATACGACAAACTCCCCAAACGCATAAAGTTCATCTTTGCCTGTCCATTTTTATAGACATTCTTATCCCAAAATCCATTATACACAATTCGAACTATTTCACACGACATTTATAAACAAAGATACAAAATATTTTAGTGATAAACAATGTCAAAAAATGGGATCTAAAAATGATTCTAAAAATCGTATTTAGGATTCTGGGGTCCAAAAATGATTTCTGGGGTCCAGAAATACCCCAGAAATCATTTCTGGACACCAGAAACGACCCAGAAATCGTTTCTGGGGTACAGAAATCATTTTTGTGATTTCTTGCATTTCTGGGGTCCAGAAATCGTTTCTGGGACCAGAAATCATTTTTTGGATTTCTGGGATTTCTAGAACTGGAAATCATTTCTTGTATTTCTGGGATCAGAAATCGATTTCTGGTTTCTGGTTTCAAAAGTAGATTTCTGGGACCGGAAATCGATTTCTTGTCCCATAAATTGTTTCTGGGATTTTTAGGATTTCTGGAATCCGAAACGATTTCTGGGGTCCAGAAACAATTTCTAGAGCCAATTAGAAATCATTTCTGTAACTCTAGAAATCGATTTCTGGAGCCCAAAAATTGACGATTTTTTTTTTTATATAAAAATAGGTAGTAAGGGTATTTTTGTCATTTCAAGTGCCAAAATGGCTAAAAAGGTGTTTTTTGCAAAACATGGCTAAAATTTGTGTTAGCCATTTGTACATGGCTAAACAAAATTCTCTGTATAAAAAAATATTATTTTGATTATCAATTTGAAGTAACATGATAATAATCTAATGTGGGGTAATGAGTACATGAGATGATAATAGTGTGATTGGTTATAAACTAAAAATAAAAAAAAAATAAAAAAATAATAAAATATAAAGAAAAATAAAAAAAATTCAAAACTCAACTTTAATTCAACCCCACTATCTTCAATATTATTAATTAGATAATATCAAAATTATTCTTACACATCACATCAACTTTTATTCACTATTAATCCACTCACATAATCTAACTAACCATCATTTTCAATCATTTTTCTCTTACTTTTATATCAAATCAACTTTAATTATTATACTTTAATTAATATTTTACTTCAAACTTAAGTTCCCACTAAGAACTAACCATATCATTTTTTTCAAAATTAACTATTGGTAACGCAAAACACTCCGACCGGCTTGAAATCGGCCCGTCTTCCTCCTCCTCGTCGGTAGAATGCCGGGTACCTGCAAAGAACTCTCACACCGGGGTTTTTTTCCGGTGAAGAGCCTCCGATGCTTAAGTAAGTTTGTGTTTTACTCAATTCTCCAAAGTAAGAATATGGATAAATCGTAAGTCACCAGAAGAGACTCACTCCTATATATATAGGAGTGAGATACCTGCCCTAGGAGCTGCCCGGATCTGATGAGTTTTCCTCCCAGCGCTGCCCGTCCGTACACACACAGTGTGCGTGTATCAGAGGTGGTTATCGCCACTATCGCTCTGCACCAATGTACTCTCGCCACGTGCTCCTCTGAGCAGAGGGTGATTATTCTCCTGCATATTCCGTTGGGATTTTCTGACGAAGTCCACGCGCCTTCTTGCGTTCAAGCCACGCTTTCGATTGCTTTTCACCCGCCGCGTGCTCGATCTGACTGAGCCCCCCTTTGCTAGGTCGATCATTGACCATATCTGTTATCCTGCTCGATTACTTCCTTTTGGTCGATTATTGCTCGACTACTGCGGTTTTTCGGATATCGAGCTCGTACGACCAACATGGTAAATCAGTTTATTCTTTAAGCATATAGTATCCCATATCAACTATGATTAGAAAAAAACTATTAAAAAATCAATCAAATTTATATCCAATCACACTGTAAATAACTTTCCCATCATTCGATCTCTTCTAAGTTCTAACTACATTTGAAGTCTTTCCATTCAAATGGTCGAGAAAAGACAAACTATAAATTTTTATGACTTCATTATAGGTTGGGGTTATATACTTTTGTTTTCTCAACTGCTATTCATCGCCCCCCTTTTACTAGTCACCGCCCCCCCGTTTACTCTTTTGCCCTTATCCTTTTTTTGGATTTCATCTCTCTAAACTTTCTATCTCTCTAAATTTCCGAACTTCAACGAACGATTCGAGCAT